CTTCCATCCAAATCCAGGTAGTCCTCAACTTTCAACAGTTTGCCTAGTGACTGTTCGAAGTTACAACAGCATTGAAAAAAGTGACTTATAACCATTTTTCATACTTATGACCATTGTAGCATTACCATGGTCACATGGTTTACATTCGGATGCTTGACAACTGACTCACATTTATGACAGCTGAAGTGTCCCGGGGTCATGTGATCACCTTCTGCGACTTTCTGACAAGCAAAGTCAATGTTACTAATTTAGTAACAGCAGTGATTCGTTTAACAAATGTGGCAAGAAAAGTCGTAAAATGGGGCAAAACTCACTTAACAAATGTCTCACTTAGCAAAAGAAATTTTGGGCTCAATTGTGGTTGTAAGTTGAGGACTACCTGTATTAACAAGGTCTGATATTGCTTAGCTTTTTCTGGAGCAGCCAAAAGTCAGCTAGCTATTGCCACCTGTCACAAACACGATGTAATGCATATACTGTATATTATCACCAAATAGTTCATCACTGACACATTGTTAATCATTCTCCCTAATTAACCATGTACAGGTGCTAATGCAAAATAATAGATAAGCCATTTAATACTATGCAGCACTAATCAAATGATACAGCTGTAAGATAGCAAATATTTGGTCTAGTGCAGGGGTGTCAACCTGCTGGCCCATGTCCCGGATGCATCATAGCAAAATCGCGCCCACCCCATTGCCGGCAATGGCAAAAAAGTTATGATATATCATGACACGTCACATGATGTGCGAGTTTGATACCCCTGGCATAGTGCAACAGTTTATCTATGGCATAATCAAAGCCTATTGTGCTCTCTCCTGCTCTTCCTTGGTTTAGCTTTTAAAGCTACTGTTAACCTTTCCATCACACATGATCCAATTATGTACCAAGAAAAGATGGGGCTTCATACCTTCATAGGTACAGTAGTAGAAGACATTCAGAGCTTCCACTGCAGCTGGCCCCCTTTGTTTATAACCAAAAATCAGATCTATCCATTCATGGAGATGAGCAGAGACATACTCTGATTCCTAAGACAGAAATAAAAAAATTAAGTTCAGTAACTAAGTTCTTCAAAGAAACTTCTAGCCCATTTTATTTTTGAAAAAAAGCCTTTTTCCAAATACACTTTGCTCCCCATATTTACATTCACTGAAAAAGATCATCCTAGTTTTATGATAATGTTTGCGCACATAGGAACTGTGAAATACAAGAAAATAAATCCAAGTTTCTGTAATCATTCAGAAGAAAAAAAAATAGGTACCACACAGGTACAATTTAATTCAGCGGTGGTAAAACCTCCAAGGACAGCACAACAACTTACATCGCAAAAGAATTATAAAAAGATTTTTTTTCCAAAACACTTGGCCAGATTACCAGATAATATCTACAAAATTTTAGTAATTAAATATTTAATTACTATCCATGGACCCAGATGGGTAGCTGTGCTTTGAAGAGCAATTACACAGTAAGCAGCATTGTGCTTGAGCCATCCAACTTTCAAATGTCATCTCTCAATATGGATTCTCTATCCAATTCTCAGCCCAATCAGATCTAAAGCCCTTCAAACAAAGAGTTATTAATGTGGCTGCTGAAGATGATATTGCAGCACTTAAATATGTCAAGTGTCTGAAATGGCTGGCTCAACTCAAATCAGCCCCCCAGTTAGAAAAAATATCTAACAAATATCTTACATGCCTCGATTTGAACATGGTAAGACATGGGAGGTTTCATGGGGTCCCATAACTGAAGAAAGATTTTGCATTTGTGGGGCACCAGCCACTGAAAACTCTGAAAACATTCTTGTCAACTGCAAATTTTACTCTCCAGAAATGGCCACTTATTTAGCTCCTTATTTAAAAACTAAAAAATATTGGGGCACCCAAGAGAAACACTCTTATTGCAGGGAACAAACCTGCAAATCATTAATACAATTGCCCTCCTCATTTCAAAGGCCACTTCAAAGAGGACAGAATACTGGATTAGATTGAAATTAACTATAGGGGAGACGATATAGTATGAATTTATGTTTTCTTTTTATTTATGTACATTTTTGCATCAGTTTTATATATTTGACACAGTCAATTGATACTATTAAGTCTTCTTCTTCTTCTTCTCCTTCTCCTTCTCCTTCTCCTCCTCCTCCTTCTTCTTCTTTTACTTTACCTATAGTACTTATCTTCAATTTATCATGTCTACTATATTTTATTCTGTTTTATCTCACTTCACTGTATCTTACCTCATTTTATTGTATTTTACTGTGGTTGATACTTATGTTTGATATGGTTGATTGATTAATCAACATAGTATATCAATAACAATGAAGAGAGAAGGGCCACTGAAAATCATTTTACATGATTATGAATACTATTCATTAGTGAATACCATACTTAAAAAAATTAAATTTATTTGTATCCACCTTTATTATTTTTGCAAATTACTCAAGCCAGCAAACGTACTCAACACACCTGCATTTCATTTCTGTCAATTTACACACATACACTGATGGTCCTTCGTCCTAAACACACATTTTAAAATCTTACATTATCTCTCCAGAGGGACTATAACTCACCAATGCTTTCCTATGTTTGAAAATGAAGTCTTCTGGAGAATGTGCCCATTTTGGTAGGATAACATCATTTACCTCTTCTTTTGAAATCTGGAGCCGACCAAAATTGAAATCTGCAGAGTGGTAATAAAACAAAAGGATTTCAGGTGCAATTAAAATGACAAAATGTTTATTAGAAGTTACAGTTTTCTAAGCCAGATACCACTGAAGGAGAAGAAAAATACTTAATTAGGAAAATCAATGTCTCACATTTTATTTTAAATAGAAATGGCTTCTCTGAATTATGTAATAGAATAACAGCAATTGTAATAATAGGGCAAAAGTGTAGTTTAGGATTTTCTATTCATTCTGTAATCACAGGATCAGAATATTAGCCAGTGTGTGCAGGAGAAGAGGAGGCAGAGCTGGGGGGAAGGGGGGGGGCAGAGTAAAACATATCATTAGTTTGGAGTCTTTGCGTTAACACAAGAGATCTAAGTCCAGCCCCCCGCTCTTGAATTCTGTTGACTCTTATCTAATGCCAAGTTAGTGCTGACTGTTAGTTAACTAGATTCTTGTATATAGACTTCAATCATTTATGCTACGATCCACATGAATGGTCCTGATTCTTTGCGCCTGACAGAGTGTTACTTAAACAATAAATGAGAACCCATTGTTCTGTACAGTTTATTGGTTTAACTTCTTACGATTTTGATTCTCTAAAAACTCTGGGAAGTAGAAAAATTCTGGAATTAGCTCATTCACATCATTTGGATTCTCCATGAGAGCTTGCCAAGTAGCAGGAATGGAGTGGAACTGTCGATCGGCGCAGTCAAATCTGCAGAGAGAAAATACAAAGGAAAACTCCCCAAATTATAAATAATGGAATTGCATTTAACTTTAGCTCAGTGCTCTTCCTATAAAATCAAATATAGGTACAATTTTTTTTTAAAAAGGTAGTATACCTATTTATTTCAATCCAGGGATAACAATGCATATCTGGAGCTACATATCATTTGCATGCAGTCCTGCATCATTTTTGAATTAGAACACAAAATTTGTTCATTCAAGAACTCTACTTAGCTCTGGATAGCAGCAAATTGCATGGAGGAAGACCATGTGTGGCCATTACAAAACTTGGCGGGAAATTTGGACATCACCAAGATGCTAAGATTACCTGGCAAAGTATCAGAAAGCCACTATCGGCTCATAACTTAAACATCTTATCATTACACTTTTTAATATTTTAAACCGCCCAGAGTTAGTTAGTAAGATAGGTGGCCAATAAACTTTATAAATAAACAAACAAATAATATTTTTGTTTCATGGGAAAGAAGGCTTTTTTCTTTGCTTCCTTTACTCAAAGGACTTATTGTATTTGCAGCTCCTCTGAATTATATGCAAGGGTGCTTCTCTTCTGAGAAATAAACATTCTACTCTAAGTATGTGAAGAAATGATACCTTGTTTACTTTCAAGGAAAATAATACATTCTGCAATTCTACCATTATGTAAACAACAGAAATTTATACATCGCTTAATATCATACCTCCCACTCTGAAGCTGGATATGCAAAGTGGTAAAAGGTTCAACCCGAATGAGGTAATGTATGACTCCAGCTGCATTGGAGTAGTGAGTCCCATAGTGAAACTTGTCAATAATTCCAAGGGGGTCTTCAAAGTTATCATATCTTTAAAAGAAAAAAAACACATTTTCATAACTGTGAATCTATTGGTATTTATTATTTTATTTATAATTATAATAATAATAGAGTTGGAAGGGACCTTGGAGGTCTTCTAGTCCAACCCCCTGCTCAGGCAGGAAACCCTATAATTTCAGACAAATGGTTGTCCAGTCTCTTCTTAAAAGCCTCCAGTGTTGGAGCATTCACAACTTCTGGAGGCAGGTTGTTCCACTGATTAATTGTTCAGTGGACAATTAATCAGTGGAACAACCTGCCTCCAGAAGTTTACTCTGAGAAGTTATCGGTAGATTTGCCATTTGAGAACAAAGAACACTCAGAGTTTTTTTTAAAAAAATCTGGCAGCTGATCTATCAATTTTTTCCTTTTAGACTGGGCTTGAAAAATACTAAAGTAAATCTATATTGACTTTTCAGTTTATGACTATATAATGAATAAACACCCATATGGGTGAGTGGGTTGAAAAGCAAGGAAAATGATAAGTGATGGAAAAAATAGAATTTTTAGCACTGAAAATATTCATACAATTTTACATTTTCTATACTAATAAAGAGCACAAAGATTCTGCCTATCATCCAAAGAATTTCTTTCAATTCATTTTTTTAAAAACATTCATATACACCTACTTCACAATGGTTCCTCCACTGGACTTTTCTAGGGTGACATGCAGCCCCAAATTCTCAATGATAAATTACCATTATTTTAGCAATATAGCTATCAACTTCCTTTTTTCAACACAATTTTATTACTGTTTACTCTCCATGTCTAATCTGAAAAGGCTGTGACAATTTTAAAAACTCTTATCCTAAATATACCTATCAATGAATACTTGCAGAGCTGTCTTCAATTCTTCACTATCATCTGAACAATACATTCCATTTACTAGTTGGAAGAGAGGAACAAGCATAAACATTAAGAAGCAGATGCATAATAAGGACAGTTAAATACAACAATTAAGTGATTATTTCAAAAGAAATACCTTTCCTTTACAGCCCTCACATTCTTTTCATTCACTGCACCAATAGGTTTAGACAAATCCCGAAACACTGCAGGATTATTCAAATCCAATTCTTCTGAAGTATAATCCTGCAGGATCCATGGAAACTTGAACAAAAAGGAAGACAAATCTCGCATTTGTTTTTTGATAAAATATAATATTGTGTCTAGTTAGAAACAATGGACATAAACAATACTTACAACAGGATATTGTGCAAGATCATTGTAGGTCCGTCCTGCCATAGTATTTAACTGAATGAGGTAATCAAAATTGGATATTTCTCTGTTCACCCATTTCTAAATAAAGAAAACCCAATATTGAAGCTAATGTTGTGTAAAAAGAGCTAGCGATGCATTTTAGCATAATTCAAGCAAACAAAATGGCAAAATTAAAGTAGCATTCATGTTTATTCAAATGTTTATGCCACTATACTCTTTCAGCTCATATAGAACTAGAATCATAAACCATTAAAAATTATTTTAAAAAATCTTATTATTGTTCCTTTCCTATGCAATCAAACAAACTTGACCTGCAGGAGACTGCTCCATTTAGGATGAGGTTTTATAAAATAAAGCTACTATTAGTTTTGTCATCACCAGGAAGAAAATAGATTTCATCCTATATACATCACAATTTAAAGTTTATTGTATTCTTCAAGTGACAAACTATTTTTAACAGAGAATAGACTCAGAAATAGAAGACGTTACTATTTAAATATTACATTTATCTGTATTTTTAAAAATTAGCTCAGACACCAGCTGAGGGAGCTATTATACCAAGCAAAAAGAGACATGAATTATTTTTAATGTCCCCCCACCATTCAGGTTAGTATCCTACCTGAGTTAATCCAGAAGCTTTGAATAATTCTTGGGGAGATCTGGTCCCACTAATATTTTGAGAACAGAGAGACAGAATTCGGCTATATACTCTGTTTCTTGTCTACAACAATGAAGGTACATAGGTTAATTTATTGAATAACATCATCAGAATTTCCCCATTTTCACATTTGGGCTTGCTATTTTGGCAACCCAATTGTGGGGCTAATCCATGCAATTCAATTTATCATTTTATTATGCATCTCAATAAATGCTATTACATTATTTAAAAGTGCTTTGCCTCAACATTGGTCATCTCCAGCAAGAATGGGACACTATGCTAAGCGCTGAAAAAGGAAGATGTTAAAATCAATGTTGGTTTTCTTTCTTATACCTGCTTAAAACATGGTATTTAAACTAGATACTTTGGCTTTCATTATTAAACATGTCAGCTGACCTTGAAAAAAAAAAGTTAAATATGCACCAAAAATCCTAATATGAAACAGGATCTTTCAATTACTTTACCATCCAAGCTGGGTTCATTTTTAGCACAATCAGGAATATTGTTGAATTGAACCCATTCATCTGTTCACAGGAGATCACTGGGCAAAGTCACCCAGTAATGAAAAATGTATTTTAGGGATTTTTCTCAAGGTATTCTGCACAAGAAACATGTAAAATTACATACCTCCTTTTTAAAGTTAAGGAAGTAATTAGTCTGGTCAATAAAGAAGATCTCCAAAGCCGACCTCCTCAAATTATAACGGCGTAAGTGAATCTCTCGAATTTGAGAAAGAGGCCATTTAAAATCAAAACCTATACCTGGATATAGAAGAAGAATTTCAGTTTATTCTTAACTGAAGGTATATGATAATTATGAAAGTCAAAAAGGTCTGGTAACATGGTTGGAAAAGTAAAAACTGCCAATTGGAATGAGCCCAAATAGAAACTTTAATAAAAATCATGGCAGGACTGAACAACCAGCGGCATCGGAATCATATCATTTCAAACTACCCTTTTGTAGTTCCCTATCACCAAAAATCAATAGTAACATTTATCAATAATTAAGATATGAAACAAACAAAAACTGTAGTATAAGTTCTAAAATAGTTGCAATCCATTAAACAAAAAAGAACAAATAAAAAATAAATGTGCCCCAATAACCTCCCCCCTGCCCGCATTGTGAGAGGCTGGAAAAGGGGTGGGGAGCCCTTTCAACTTGCCTTCTTATAAATGGATGTTTACCATGGCAGCCATTTTGAGAAAGTACTCATGTCATAGCCCCCAAATCATCAGCCACGAAAGATTACGGATCCCCAGAACTTAGGGAAAAGTTTGGCAATCAGCAATATTTTTCTCTACGGCAATGCAAATGGAGCATTCTAGATTATCCAACATTTGAAATCTTTCTTCCAGAAATTCATTCCAGTGTGAAAGAGTGTATGTAGCCAATTAACTATACCAGGGGTAGTCAACCTTGGCTCTTTTATGTCTCGTGGACTTCAATTCCCAGAATTCCTGAGCCAGCTTAGCTGGCTCAGGAATTCTGGGAGTTGAAGTCCACGAGTCATAAAAGAGCCAAGGTTGACTACCCCTGAACTATACAAACAGAGTGGTGCAATGGAAGTCCAAAGGTCTCACCTTCTTCTTTTTCAATGCTGCCGTCATAGAAGTAAATGTGATATGTCGTGACCTCCAGTCTGCCAGGTATTATATTCATTATTGTAATAAGTTCGCAGTCTTCTGAGAGCACAAGTTTTTCTTTTTGACCCTGCTCTTCCTTTTCACCCCTGCAGCAGAAATATCAAATGATAGGCTTGATTAGCTGGATAATACAGAAATTACAAAACAAGGGTTCAGCATTTCTTACAAAATAATCAGTATTTGAACCTCCTAAACAAATGGTCCATCACTAAGTACTAATTAATAAAAAGACTGATCAGTATCAAATAGGATTAGCGTTGTTTTTGCTCTATACCTTAAACAAGTGACAACGGAGGGAAAACACTCCTTAAGAAGAGAAAACCATGAATAAAGGAAAGTTTGATCCTGTAACAAATTTCTCATTTCTAAGTTATGAACAGTGAGAACTTCTTTATTACACTGCCAGCACAAGAGATGCTATACATAATTCCTAAACTATATTTTACTTAGATCTTTATATAATTAGAAGAAAACTATAAGGAAAGGTTGATGGAATTGGGTATGTCTAGTTTAATGAAGAGAAGGACAAGGAGGGACATGATAGCAGTGTTCCAATATCTCAGGGGCTGCCATGGAGAAGAGGGGGTCAAGCTATTTTCCAAAGCGCCTGAAGGCAGGACAAGAAGCAACGGATGGAAACTAATCAAGGAGAGAAGCAACCTAGAACTAAGGAGAAACTTCCTGACAGTTAGAACAATTAACCAGTGGAACAACCTGCCTCCAGAAGCGGTGAATGCTCCAACACTGGAAATTTTTAAGAAAAAACTGGACAGCCATTTGTCCGAAATGGTATAGGGTTACCTGCCTGAGCAGGGGGTTGGACTTGATGACCTCCAAGGTCCCTTCCAACTTTATTATTATTATTTGCGCATGTAGTTTTTGAAACAAAATATCTGCATATAACAATAAACTAGAAGGGTAGGCAAGTTGTTAGTAAGTAAGTAAATAGATAAATGTTTTGTTTGAACTTGGTTAGCAGAAGAGATGTATTAGTCCAAATTTAATATCTATGGCCAAAGTAAAAAAAATCCCAAAGAATATTATATTTAATTTTTAAAAAACTATATTTTCAAAAATCATGATATGAAACATTAAAAGTATTTGTTTCCTGTGACAATTTTGTAATCTGTTTTCTTATTAGTAGTTTTTAAAATTTTTGAAAGTATTTTTCCTTTGGGATGAAACAATTTTGACCTTTCAGAATGCAGCTAACTTTGAACATTCTAATATATTAGGTGGACTGTTTCATTCCAAGCTTAAAAAGAAAAATCTTGCCATTTCATGCATATTCATGTCTGAATTTGAATAGATTTTGTAGAATGTGGAGACAGGTTTAAAAAAAAAACCCCTGATGAGCAGGCCCACAATATGTTTCAGCCATATTCTTTGGAACCTGGTTCTGAATTCACATACTCTTCTACATACATATTTGTATTGGATGTTGGATCTTCATCTGGCAGTTCAAGTATATCATCTTCCATATCACTGACTTTTACTTGCTTCACTGCCTCCAGAAGCAAAGCTTCCCTTGATGGTGGCATCTGTAACACTCCTTGAAAGATGAAGTGAAGATATCCCATTAAGCAAATAAACTTCTATTAGAGCATGTATCTCAATGAATAAGCATGAAGAACATTGAATTAAATGAATAAATGAATAAAATAAACATGAAGAACTCCTAGAACTAAGGAGGAATTTCCTGACAGTTAGAACAATTAATCAGTGGAACAACTTGCCTCCAGAAGTTGTGGGTGCTCCAACACTGGAGGATTTTAAGAAAAGACTGGATAACCATTTGTCTGAAATGGTATAGGGTCTCCTCCTTGAGCAGGGGGGTGGACTAGAAGACCTCCAATGTCCCTTACAACTCTATTATTCTGTAACAATACATTGGCATCACAGTAAGACTCCTTTTTCTCTCTCTCTACACATGTAATACCTATGCAGAAAGGATTATTTAACTAGCTGAAACTGTTTGTGTATTCCTCCACCTGTGTAAAGAGAAGTTACTTAGCAGAGCTTTGTGGACTACAATATTGTATTGCCAATGCTTGGTCACCTGCGTTATTACTTGGTAGCCATTAAGATAAAGAGACAACGGGGGCTCCCTAATCTAACATCCTCCAAGAGGAGGGAGAACACTAACTACCTAAGAACAATGTTCTCATAAAAAAAAAGGCTCACTTAATATTTGCAAGTGCTGCCTCCTGGAGATCCTGTTTCCTCTAGAGATAAAAGTAATCGGCAAAAGCCACCAGATAAATCTTTGGCAAAGATTCCACTATCTAAAATTATATCAAATCTCTGATAAAGTAGGCTAGTAAGCCATCTTCATGTGTGATGGTTTATAACCCCTTTCTTTTAAGAATTTCCATGTAGACTCAAAGTTCTGGGAGAACACGGACAATTACTGGCTTTGGAGTCCAACCACCGCCATTCCTGAGGTTCCTGACATACTGAAAGGATGTAGATTAGCATACCCTTCTCTGATAACTCTCTTAATTAATTTTAATCTACTTTTATTTCATTCAATAAAATCATTCTGGGTTATTTCACACTGGTTTGAGCCTATTTCCTTCAAATCCTAAAAGAAATCTACTGGTTTCTGTTTGTCTTACTGGACTGCCAACACAATCATTCCCCCATCCATAGAAAGGTTCCTATTAAGTCACATGATTCTATTTATATTATAGTGCAATTTTAGCAGATAAGCAAAAGCAGATTTGCTGAGAAAATGGAACACTTTTAACACAAACAGAAAAGAGAATTTTCTATACTTGAAAGAAATTAAAAAATCCGGTGAGACATCAGGATTGAATATTTTAAAGAGCCAAGACAATAGCTAACAAGCATCATAGCCACTTGGCCTCACCTAGATTATCCCTCAGGGCACTGGCCTCCTGGTGAGAGTTGAAATTGTAATTTTGCACTAATTTTAGCCTCATTCGTGAATAGTTTTCGACATTTGAAACTTTCCAATGAATGAGATGTGGTTTCCTGATGAAAGAAATATACCAAAAGAAATTGAACAACATTAGGCATGTGATATTACTGTTTGTACTGAAAAAAACGACAAGATGTGAACACAAGATTTTTTTTTAAAAAAAAACTGCAGCAATTAAATTTTCTTTTTCGTATTTTTTTTTCTCCATACTGTTCCAGGGGAAGCATGAAGATCCCTCTAGTTGGGGAAAATAACTTGATTCTTTCTTATAGAAAATGACCTCCAAGCAAGCTGAACTGGGTCTCTTTTTTTATACTAGAAGCATATAGGGAATTTTCTATCTCGCTTTGAGAATTATAATTATGAATTATCTCTGCCAACAGCTCAAAGCAGTCCCCAAAGAAGAGGGGGAGGGGTTCAACTACGCATTTTTATTGTGTGTGAAGTCAAGGCTTCAACAGGAGTCATGAAATCTAATGGACTGGCTATGATTTCTCAAAGCTAGAGTGAGCAGAATTCCATTTGGTAGAGTCTACTTTTTTCCTTTAGAATTCTAAGTTTAATAAACGAGAGGGAGAGGGAGAGGGAGAGGGAGAGGGGGAGAGGGAGAGGGAGAGGGAGAGGGAGGGAGGGAGGGAGAGAGAGAGAGAGAGAGAGAGAGAGAGAGAGAGAGAGAGAGAGAGAGAGAGAGAGAGAGAGAGAGATATGAATAAATTAAAAGGCAGGTTTATAACTTGAGCCCAGGAAAATTATTGCAAGCCAACAAGCACTTCCACCCACCCTGGGAAACTAACCATGCTATCATCAGATCCCAAAATGTGCTGCAAAAAATTCCAGGATTTTCTTTTTCTTTTTTTTTTTATTGTTCAGCCACATGCCTTGCTCTAGAAAAGGTACAGTATGCTCCAAGGAGAAAGAAAACATGCCGATCTCCCATACCTTTCAGCCCAAGGGCCTTGTTCACAGATAAGGTAAAGTTTGGCAGCTCTCCACTGTCTCAGAGTTGTTGTGTGCTGATTGTTTAACTGTTTTAGCATGCCATTGTAACGCATATTCTCCTGCCGTGCCCTCCGGTTAAATGGCTCTACAAAAAATTCCTAGAGACAGAAACATATATAATAAATCTTAAAGAAGTGCTTAG